TGACTTCATTTCAGGTCATGATCTCACAGTTCATGAGTTTGAGCCCCACATCGGGCTCTGTGCTGACAGCTCAGAGCCTGGAGCCTGCTTCAGATTCTGTTTCCCTCTCTCTTTGCCCCTCCCTCACTTGCACTCTGTGTGTCTCTTTCTCAAAAATAAACATTAAAAAAATTAAAAATAAAAAGACTGTGTAGTTACATAAAATCTCTAAGACATATCAAGTGAAAAAAGACAAAAAGAACAGTGTGCTTGATACATCCTTTTTAGGTGAATAAGAAAAAATAATAAACTGTTAATAGTGCTAACCTCTGGGGAAAGAGACTGATGGAACAGGAATGGGAATATAGATGTGGAAGGGGAGAGAGCAAGCTTTCCTATATATTCTGAATTTACTAACATACCAGGAAGAATACTTCAATCAGAGCAAATATATAACAACATGCAAAAAAACAAAAACAAAAAAAACGTGTTTTGCTTTTAAGTAGAGCAAATGTCAGAAAAACTCCCTCAGATCTTTGAAAACCATGCAAAGCAACAGGAACGTACTTCAAAGTACTCTCCTAAAACCTACAATATTAATGCTTAGCTTTCTTGCTAGTTCTTCATCACTTTTCAGTTGTTCTTCCATCTCTCTTCGCCTCTTTTCTGCCTGTTGTTTTTCCTCCTCTTCTTCCTCTGCCAATAATCTCTGTATGTATGCTTCGCTGGCTTTGTTTTCTTCTTCCTCACTGGCTCGTCGCTCTGCTTCCACCTTAAAAAAATAATTAATAAAGAACACTTCTCTGAACTTTTGATTATACTTGCAATATTTCTCTTTTCTTAACAGCAATTCTTTTTTTCTTTTCTAGAGAGAGAGAGTACAAGCTGGGGAGAGGGGCAGAGAGAGGGAGAGAATCTTGAGCAAGCTCCTGTCTCAGAGCATGGCAAAAGACAAGAACAGACATTTCACTCCCCAAAAATTATAAAAATGTCCCTTAATTATATGAAAAGATAATCTTTCTCATAATAAGAGAAATAACAATTAAATCTACACTGAAATAGGACTTCCAGCTTCCAGTAATGATAGAGCAAAACACTGGTAGAAGATATCTTCCAACAAAAACCGACTTTAAAACCTGGACATTACACTGGGGCACCTGGGTGGCTCAGCTGGTTAAGTGTCAACTTCAGCTCAGGTCATGATCTCACAGTTTAAGCCCTGCATCAGGCTCTGTGCTGAAAGCTCAGAGCCTGGAGCCTGCTTTGGATTCTGTGTCTCCCCTCTCTCTCTGGCCCTTCCCCACTTGTGCTTTGTCTCCCTTCCTCTCTCAAAAATAAACAAACATTAAAAACAAAAAACAAAAAACAAAAAACCTGGGCATGATAAGCAATTACCGAAGGAACTGGAGAGTGAACATAATCAGACAAACTGCTCCTCCTGGCTTCAAGCCTAGAGCTGACATAATCTGACACTGGTGGAAACTGACCCCACACTAAGTGGAGTCACTTGATATTCTAAAAGGTTCAGAGAGAATTTACTGGGGAAAAGATGCTCGTTACAATACACGGGGGTAGAATATACAATATCTGTATGAGTAAAAAAATGAATCTCAACTCCACTTCATGTCATACTCAAAAACTAATGGAATTGATTATATATCAAAACATAAGAACTAAAACAAATTCCAGAAGAAATTTTTGTGACCTTGGGTTAAGCAAAGTTATCGAGCTACATACCTAAAATAAGTAAATTTTCCTATACTGAAATTTACCATAGATAAATTCTACCTCAACAAAGCTTTTTTTTTTAAAGAAACACTATGCCAATACCATTCTCATACATCAGATTAGCAAAAATTCAAAAGCCTGAAGTACTCTATTTTTCTTTCAAAATTTTTAACGTTTATTTATTTTTGAGAGAGAGAGAGCCCACACGAGAGTGGGGGAGGGGCAGAAAGAGAAAGGGAGACACAGAATTTGAAGCAGGCTACAGGCTCTGAGCTCTCAGCACAGAGCCCAATGCAGGTCTCAAACTCATGAACTGTGAGATCATGACCTGAGCCAAAGAAAGCCTGACAGTACTCTGTTGACAAGTGTGTTTCTAAACAGGTACTCTCATTGGGAATACAAAATGTACCCCAATCAAAGAGAATTTGACAGTTCTAACAAATCTATATATCATTTACCTTTTAACCTGGCAATCTCATATGTAGAAATTTGCCCTGAAGATATACTTCTAATAATATTAAAATATACATGCACAGTATTGCAGTACTATATGTAATTAGAAAATATATAGTATGCAATATTTAATAAATGAGCGGTTATATATATGTTTACTCTTATAAAAGATACCAAAGGAAGGATAAACTACCCAGTGATAAAATTAGTTATCTACAAGGTGGGTGGACACAGGGTGGATAAGATACAGGAGGGAGTTATTCTGAGAGTAACTTTTATGTAATTTTTATGTTTGGGTGCGTGTTAATATTCTACACATTCAGGGGCACCTGGGTGGCTCAGTCAGTTAAGCATCTGACTTCGGTTCAGGTCAGGATCTTGCAGTTCATGGGTTCAAGCCCCGTGTCAGGCTCTATGCTGACAGCTCAGAGCCTGGAGCCTGCTTCAGATTCTGTGTCTCCCTCTTTCTCTGCCCCCTCCTGCTCACGTGCACGTGCTCTCTCTTTCACAAAAATAAATATTAAAAAAAAATTATTTTTAAGATAAGGAAGGGAAAATGAAAAAAAAATCACTATCACATAAGAGTACCAATTATATATAAATAAAAGCTACTTTCTACCTATTTTAAACATGTAAAAAATAAAGCTTTTAAAGTACACTAAAATTAATTTTATTACAATATATATTATTTACATAGGCACATAAAACTGTATGTAAAATCTAAACTTGAAAACACAGCAGAGAATTTTTCCAAAAAAGAATAACCATTTAGGGCACCTGGGTGGCTCAGTTGGTTAAATGCCCGACTCTTGGTTTGGGCTCAGGTCATGATCTCATGGTTTGTTAAGATCGAGCCACATGTTGGGCTCCACGCTGACAGCCTAGAGCCTGTATGGGATATTCTCTCTCTCTGCTCCTCCCTCTCTCTCAAAGTAAATAAATAAACTTAAAAACAAAAAAGGTAACTATTTAGCACCTACCTTGCTTATCTCCTCTTCATATTCTCTTCTCAATTCCCCAGGTTTACTTAATAAGCGAACTGGCTGATAGTCATCAACTGTTAGAGATCAAGGAAGAAAACAATGTTATAGGCAACAAAGAATTTTATGGCTAGCTTTGGTCTTTCATTAAACCTATATTAACCTGAAAATGTGATATTAAATGTACAATTATTAACAGTTATAGCAGTATCTTCTCTACAGAATTCCATTTTAAAAGAAAAGTCCATAGATTTTCTGGTTCAAAATGGCACATAAGTACATATACTTAACTCCTGTCCTAGAATCTGTTAAAATAACAGTGAAAGCAGTTTTAAAAAGTAATCCTACAACAGCAAAGAGATTAGGGGAAGGGTCCATCAGTAAAAAAGAAACTTTAATAAATTTCTACAAAATGGGAGGCCGATATAAAAGAGGTGACTTATATAGCAGAATGAAGAAAAATGCAACCCTTGGAAGTGCGAGACCTGCCCCATATACCTGAAAGGCAGCTCAGGCTCAAAACCACAACGCATAATAGAGACCAGAATGAATGAGTGTAGGACAGGAAATTCAAAGTTTATAATCTGTTAAATCAGAATACTTGGTTGGTAGGCATTTCTTCCTAGATATTAAGTGTACATATCACAAACAAAAGTTATTTTTTAAAGAAACTAAATTGTCTGGACAGAGCCAGTGCAGCTAATATGAGAGGTGATGACCAAGAGCACAGCCCTCTAAAATTTGGCACTCAGGGACAGCAAAGCATAATGGCCAGGTTTAACCTCAAACATTATCTGCCAGTCACCAATGCCAATGTATGCACAAGGAGTTTTATTCTAGGGCCTCATTTTTAAATATGAAAGCAAAACCAAGAATCATCAGACATTTCAAACAAATCTACAGGACTACAGAAACACTAAGATGCAAAGAAGGAAAAAATAATCTTGAGTTGAATCCAGAAAAAGAGAACACAACTGCTTATTTACAGGGGCAGCTGTTACTCAACTCCAGCTGACTACTGCCACCAGGAAACTTAGGTCTGTCTTTGTTATATTTTCTGATTTTTTCAAGACAATCCAGAAATCTATATGTTAGTGTAAAATCTCTAAATTTTAAATGTTGGCACTGAATGGGTAACAGAAAACATGTCTGTAGCCTTTACATGGCTTGCAGGCCAGTAGTTTGCAAATTCTGCAACAGAGGAACTAAAAACAGTAATGCAACTCCATTACCAGTAGCAAAGAAGTATACTAAATTCTTATTTTAGCTGCTGACGAGGATTCATCTGAGACAATACAGTGGGAAATACAGGAGAGAGAAGTGTAAGGCTCCTGAAAAATTAGTAGGGGTTATAGACAAAGCGCAAGAAGCCAGGAGGGACAGCACTTTAATTATAGCATTTCTAATAAAGGAGACACGGTATGTGTAGAGAGGTAGTGTCATATCAGATGTGACAGCTTAGGTGGTGGGCACACTTTTTCTGTAAAGGGCAAGATAATAAATATTTTATGCTTTGTGGGCAATGCAGCCTTTGTTGCAGTAATTCAACTCTTGCCACTGTTAGCGCAAAAGGAATCATTGACATAGATGAGTACAGTGCCTCTGTTCTAAAAACACTTCATTTACAAAAAGAGATGTGGGCCAAATTTGGCCTGTGGATGACAAAGTTCTCAGAAATGGTGTGTGTGTGTGCGCACATAAGCGCACATGTGCGGTGGTGTGGTGAACATTAAACAAGTGTAGGCAACTGGAAAAGGAAAACTGTTTCCTTTTATCATTAAAGGAGTTCACTTAATAAAGAATAAAAATAGCCAGAATATTATGAAAATTAAAAGACAACCCATAGAATGGAGGAAAATATTTGCAAATCATAGATCTGATAAGGCATTAATATAGAGAATATACAAAGAACTCCAACAGCTGAACAACACAAAACAAGCTCAGTTAAAAACATGGGCAAAGGACTTCAACAGATTTTTTTTTTTCCAAAAAATATGCAAATGGCCAACAAGCACATTAAAAGATGCTCAATATCACTAGTCATTAGGGAAATGCAAATCAAAACCACAAAGAGATACCACTTCATACCCAGTAGGGTGGCTATTATAAAACAAAATAGTAAGTGTTGACAAGCAGATGGGGAAACTGAAATCCTGGTGCACTGCTGGTGGAAATGTAAAATGGTACAGCCCCTATGGAAAACAATATGGTGGTTGCTCAAAAGAATTAAACAGAATTACCATAGGACCGAGGAATTCCTTTCTGGGTACACAGTCAAAAGGGTTGAAAGCAGGAACTCAGATACTTGTACACCAATGTTCACGGCAACATTATTCACAACAGCCAAAAGTGGAAGTAATCCAAGCATTTATCAACAGATAAATGGATAAAATGTGGTAAATACATACAGTGGAATATTACTGTCATAAAATGGAAACCAATTCTGATACATGCTATAACAAGGATGAACCATGAAGATACTATGCTAAGTGAAATGAGTCAGACACAATAGGACAAACACCCACTATAATGTTACTTACACAAGATACCTGGAGTACTCAAATCTGACATAAGTAGAATGGTGGATGCCAGGGGTTAGAGGAAGGGGGAATTGGGGAATTATTGTTTAATGGGTACAGTTTCAATTGGAGAAGATGAAAAAGTTCTAGAGATGGATGATGGTGATGGTTGCACACCAATGTGACTGTACTCAATGCTGCTGAACTGTACACTTAAAAATAATTAAAATGGTAAATTTTGTTATCTGTATTTTACCACAAAAAAAAAACAAAAAAACAAAAAAAAACCCAGTAACAAGAAGAAGCAAAACTTCTGTTAAAAAGAAAACCACGGAATGATGGCTTGTTTCCTTCCACTTAGAGAGTCTCATGCTCTTTGTGGTCATTTTGTAGAATAAAGACCATCTTGGATAATCACCCATTGTTAATCTTGTGTGGCAACACTGGATTTTCACTTAAAGATTTAAAATGGCTTTTCAGGGAGCACCTGGATGGCTCAGTCGGTAGAGTGTCCAACTCGACTTTGGCTCAGGTCATAATCCCAGGGTGGTGGGATCAAGACCCATGTGGGGCTCTGCGCTGAGTGTGGAGCTTGCTTGAGATTCTCTCTCTCTCTCTCCCTCTTCCCCCTCTTCCCTGCTTGTGTGCTCTCTCCCTCCTCTAAAATAAAATAATAAATAAATAATAAATAAATAAATAATAGTAAAATGGCTTTGGAATAAACACAAAAAAAGAAAAGAAAAAAGAAAAACACAGAGGAGCCATAATGGAGCCACTAAAGGCCCCACATCAGTAAATCAAGATTTAATATCTAACCTAACTTCAGCTTCAACCCCCTCAAACGTAACCTTTAACTACCCAAACTGTAATTTCCTGTAAGCAGTATCCTGAGAGACCCCTTCCTTCTTAGGAGGACAACTTTGCCTAAACACTGCAGTCCTTGCTAATAAATTGTGGTGTTCTTTAAAATTTTTTTAATGTTTATTTTTTATTGAGAGAGAGAGAGTGCACATGCATGAGAACACGCAGGGGAGGGGCAGAGAGAGAGAGGGAGACACAGAATCTGAAGCAGGCTCCAGGCTCTGAGCTGTCAGCATAGAGCCCAATACAGGGCTTGAACTCAGACGGTGAAATCATGACCTAAGCAGATTTCAGACGCTTAACCGACTGAGCCACCCAGGCATCCCTGGTTTGTTTGTTTGTTTGTTTGTTTGTTTAATGCCTCTTCTCTGCCTTTCCTTTCCTGCAGCTCAGTGGAGCTCTCCACTGTTGGTTAGATGAGATGCTGCCTGATTCATGAATCATTTAATAAAGTCAGTTAGATCTTCAAATTTACTTGGTTAAATTTTTTTAAATGCTTCTGTATGATGACAAACATCACAAAATTAAAAACAAACAACAAACTGGGAGAAGTTATTTGCAAATACATAAATCAATAGAGATTTAATGTCCAGAATATAACAAGAACTTTTACAGATTAAGAAAAAACACTACATTAATGGACAAAGAAACATACAATTTACAAAAGATGCTTAACTACTCTATAGTAAGCAGAGAGAACTGTAATTTAAAAAACAAAACAAAACAGAGGTGCCTGGGTGGCTCAGTCGATTAGGTGTCTGACTTCAGCTCAGGTCATGCATGATCTCACGGTTTGCAGGTTCGAACCCCTCATCAGGGTGTCTGCTGTCAGCTCTCTCTGCCCCTCCCCAACTTGTGCATGCTCCCTCTCTCAAAAAGAGGGAAAAAAACCCCAGGCAACTACTGAGACTTTTAAAGTTTACTTATTTGTATACAAGGTAAATCTAAACTGAGATCAGTAACTTTCTCAACCAAAGACACAACAAATTAAAATTGTCATAATAGGCTTCTAATGTCCAGGTGCAATTACTTACTATTTCTTAGTTTCTAAATATATGACGAATTTGAAAAAAAATCAGTTTTATGAGCTAAAACTAGACTATGACAGTCAATTTTTGCCAACTTATCAACACTATGCAATTTTGGTTAACTCAAATTTCTGTTGTGACGCACTCAAATGTTCCCACTGCACTTAATATTGCTGTCTTACAGTGAGTGTTCTTCCTGAGCAGCCAAGATTCATTAAAGGAATTTTATCCCCATACTCTTTATTTTGAAAGAAAAATCCACATTAATCAAAGAACTGAATGTCCAATACTGGACCAAACCCAAAAATCATAATAAACCTAACGAACAATTAATTAAGCTGTTTATACAAATATTTTTTCATCACTCTATTTGACTCTGCTTACATCTTCATGGAAATAAAGTTTTCTTCTCCTAATTAAATTTGCTCAGCCAATCTTCCTCTGAAGCCTGTAGGGTTCCTTGACTCTTCCTAGTTTCTAGTGGTTTACCAGCAATCTCCAGTGTTCACTGGCTTGTAGATGCGTCATTCCAACTCTCTGTCCTCACACAGTGTTCTCACTGTGGGTTTACTGTGTGTCTGTCTCTGTGTGCAAATTTTCCCTTTTAGAGAGGACACCAGTCATAATGGATTAGGACCCACACTAACGACCTTAACTTGACTACCTCTA